AATGTAACAAGTGACATATCAAGTGTTTTCGCCGGATTGTTCCCTATCTATCTGTTCATTTTTCTCCGCCTTCAAAAAGGCTTTCAAAAAACGGTATCGGCTGGTAAACAGGGGCTTAGGTGGCGGCGTCAGAGCTCCCCTTGCTGGCACCAACTAGAGTCAGTCTTCCGTTGTTGGGCGATGAGCTCAACCAATTATCTTCCCCACCAAGCTATGGAGCAATCGAGAATCGGGTCTTGGTTCCTCAGGAGTTACAGGCCCCATGGCAAACCTTCTCTTAGTGAACCAAACATCCACGGACTTCCGGTTAAAGCGCTTGGTTTGACGTGGGTCCATCTGGGGGCATCTTGCGCATCTTCCCCTCACGCTACCATTATAGTATGGTAATTTGCTCCTGGCTAGCTATGCCAGCAACCAACATCTGTGGTTTTGGAATCGTTGAGGGGTGATTATTCATCCATTTCTGGGCCACTGATGACTGGATTTTCACAGTTGCCTGTACATTGTTTCACCTTTGGTGGTTGTTAGTGACGTGGATTGATCCCCACGGCTCCACTTGATATGTCGTCTGTGCTGGCCCGGCTTTCAAATAATGTTTCCTGGTCTTCTATTGCAGCATGACACTGAACGCCTATCTGCCCGCCCAGGTGATTTATTATCACTAAGTTGTGGCACTTGAATTTGACTTGTTCCTGTGATTTTCGGGGAGGATTTCTTACCCTTCTTACCCTTCTTTTATTTCTTTTTCTTTTTCTGGCTTATTTGGCAAATCACACCTTTTAGGGGCTTTTCTGACCATCCATTTGCTGAAATCCATGGATCAAATAGTTATTTTCCAATTTGGAACGATTTCGCCTGGAACGATTACGACTAGCACAGTTGGTCCACAATAATGATGGCCGAAGCTTCTGGCCCCGTTTTTCAGAAGAACTCCTATTCTCCGCTGTTGAATCTCACCCTGGAACTAAGATCCCAGCTACACCGACTCGTAAGTTCCCCATTGCCTATTCCTCTCCCAATTATTATTTGACTTTTCTCGCGCACGCTAATCCCCGATTTTCGTTATTAAATCTGAATCGTTGCAGCTGGTGGTGGCCTCGTTCAAGACCCAACCCCAATGCCAGACGGCCGAAACCGCCAGAAACCACTTTTGAAAATCGAAAGTCGACCCTCTCGCCGGTTGCGAAAAGCAAAGTCAGTTCAAGTTGCCTATCAAATTGCTCAAGCCGATTCCGAATGGTTTCGCTCTCTGCCAACCAAGGTTCAACAGTGGCATTTCAGTAGAGAAGAACAGTACCGCCTCGGGGGTTGGCGTAGTAGCATTATTTTTGACGCTGCCGACAGAGCTCTTTACAAGCTTGGTTGCCAGACAAGAAAGTCTTCTGAGTCTATCCCTTCCCCGACAAGCATTGCCAGCTTCCCAGACTCGTCTTTTATGGCGTCTTCCGTGCGACCAGTCGATTCCGCCATCGGCTTGGACGACTCATTTTATAACAGTTTTCGATGGCTGGAAGAAGACGAGGACATCGATCTCAGCCTTGATGACTATCACTCGAAGCTTGCGGAAACCGATATGCGCATATCAATCCTAGCATCACGTTTCTCGCAACAGCGCCAACAACGTCGACAGTCTTCCTTTCGTCGAACGTTGTCCTTCACATCCACTGTCCGTGGTCGAAGCAGTATCTCCAGCAGGGTTCTTTCCACAAGCCAATCCTCTGCTGTGCCTTCGTCTGTAGCAGATACAACCCCATCCACGACACACAAACGGTCGCGTTCTCGCCCCAAATCCAGCTCGGCTGTCCTTCGACATATCTCGCAAGCTTCCGTCTCCTCCATCGATGGCCCTGCACAATATTACCAAGATCCAGAAGCCCGTCTGAAACTACGAGTATATCTGGCATCCCCTCAAAAATTTGACGAAGCTATTGAATTCGGATTTCCATCGCTGGACCAAAAAGAGAACATATGCCGTCCCCGCGCATCAACGGAACCGCGAACAACACACGAATCCGCGCGTACATTCTCTGAAGATGATAGTGTAACAGGGCACCCGGACGCCATCCATGAGGATGGAACCCTAACTGATTCCCCCATAGCCAGTCCGGCTCCCACATCCCCGAATCCCTACCAACCTCAACCGCCGGTTACAAACCGTACCGTCTCACCAACTCCCCGCTTATCAATCAGTAGCAGAAAATTCAACGTCAATAAGTCCTCTGTGCCAACCCTTCTACAAACGATCCCGCTGGATTATGTACAAAATGCCCCCAGCAATCGCGAGATGACGCTGAAGATGACACTGACGAGACCCGATTTACGCACTGCGGAGTCGACAGGCACTCTATTTCCCCGCCTTTCGGAACAGGACGATCCCTTGCGATTGGCCGATTTACCCGTGCCAGGCGAGAAACACCCTGTTTGGGATCCTCAGACCGAGGATACAAGTATGATGAGGAAGATGTGGCGAAAGATCCGGAAACGACGCAGTTGAATACATTTAGGGCGGCCTTCTTAAGTTACGTGGTTCAGTACGAAGAAGTTTCGTTGTTTGCATAATTATCTTTTTATTATCTTTTTATTTCAACAATTCTCGTCATCCACATATCTCCTATGATGGTTTCAAGCGACAATCGCTCAGGTAGAGGATATATGTTTATTTTATATCGTTTTAAACCAAGTTGACACTTAGCTCGGCTTCATCGAAGCAAGAGCGGATAAAGAAGCAACGGTACGGGATCCAGATTATTTCTCTGGTTATTTAATTTTACTTTGCAAATGTTTTGTTGCTTATTTCCCCCCTTCCCCCCACCCCGGGCCCTATATCCCTGTCTGCCTGGTTGCTTTCGTCGTATTTTCCCAAAGTACTCCTAAAAGTTAATTCATCGCCTTCGGCATTGCTGGAGATTTTAGTTTTTTCACCCCTTATCTTGATTTTCTTTAATCTTGGGATATTATTTGATTTCCCCTTCTGATTCAAATCCAGCTGCATCATTTAAACGCAAGGTGTTGGCGAAAGATTGTTACAGTGTGTTGTATCTCATCTCATGGTCTCTTCAGGATTTCTTAACTCATTGGTACCAATCATATGCATTTTTGAAAATATATCTAATTGTTATCTATTACCACCGCTATAACCATGATCTACGCATTCATATCATATTTTCATATATTTCCAGCCCCACACCTCACCTTAGTTGACTTTTTGCGGGCCTTTAATAATACATCAATACATCATCACAGATCAGATTTTGCTAATGTACAAACATTCTGACTCGGATATCCGTTCCCGGTACCCACTTCTCGCATTATCTATTATCGCCATGCATGTTTGGGATTCACACACATAATGATCTGTTCCATATCTGACAGAATGCATCGTGATGATAGGTTGATGCAGTTTGTCAATGGAAGTTTGAGATAACTATCATTTTATGTTTGGTCCAGCCAATTGGAGGGGGTGGGAGATGCTTTTCACTCCTTTCCTGATACTTTGTATTTTATAATTCATCAGTGGAATGAAAGATGAAGATCCTGCAAATTTATTTGCATGAGATCTGTTTAAGAGTTTTTTTTTTTTTTTTCATAAAGGTGATGTGATTGCGGCAACATCGCTGCGGGCTCAACAATTGAGCGTGTGTCCCAGCCTTCCCTTTCTTCAGGTCTCCGCAGTGTAAATAATAACTAAAATGACAGGAAATGTGGGTCTGAAAGTTCAAATACTTCAACAAAGAGCTGCTGTACATGCTCTGTAGGTAATGTATATCCTGATCCACTTAATACTTGAAACAATAGCTTTGTTTGGATCCAAGCTCAGGCTACCTCCTGCTCAGGTGGAAGTATGTGGGAAAGAAACCTGCAAATATTTGGCCGTCTAGACATTGGGTGAAGTTACAAGTTAAATGTGGGTTTAGAAAAGTTGAACATGGTTTGAAATTTCGGCCGGAAAAACCTTCGGATGTTTGATGTTTTCTCAGAACTTTTTTTTTTTTTTTTTTTTTTTTTTTTTTTTTCTCTTGACTAACCCTAGTATTGAGAGCGGTGAAGGTTGGATGTATGTAATAATAAATAATAATAATAATAATAATATAATAATAATAATATGGGTGGTGCAGAGTATATATACAGACTGCGTTTCTTGGTGACCAGAGTTCATCACAGTTTTGAAAAAGTGGACCCGACTTAATAGTCACACAATCAAGTAACTCCTCCAGTCAAACTCACCCTTTAATTATAAGCCTGCTCTTATCTTCCTGAACTGTGTGAGTATTGTGTGGGGGAAGGATGGAAATAAATCAAAATCATTTGCGACTAGCTCCAAGCGGTTTTGGCGAAATATTAGTGGTTGAAGGCCAGAGAATTTCAATTCTATCAGTTGCTTTTTGAGTTCTTCCATTTCTATTAACTATCATAATAGCACCACTCGCCGTTTATGGGTTGTCTTACTGGTTGAAGTTCCAAGAACCATGAATTTGCCGATCTATATTTAGTTAGTCATCGGGCTGTCAAAACTTTTGGGAATGGTTAATCCCGGGAGAGCTTAGCTTTCTCTGCCTACGCTTAAGTCACGTGATCTCGGGCACCCGGGCGGCTGAGGTGCATGTGACCTGTTGTAGCCAGCAGCGAGTAGAACGAAGAACGACAAACGTACATACTACGTTTGCAGAGGACACGAGTCAACATATCTTTAGTATTTCTTCAGCACACAACAAGCTGGACTGCAGCTCCCTATAGCTTCTATTCATCCACATAACATCATTTGTTTGATGTACGTGCGTGGTGCAGTTTTGATTCCATCCCCCTTCCTGTTCTGGGTTTGCTCCACGCCGACCTACGTCAGCTACAATTCTTATATTCATTTTTATCCTAGAAGAGCTCACAAAAATATATTTACATATCGAGAATAGGTATTGAGATTCATCCTTTCGTGCTCCTATCGGACCTCTCGTCGTCCATCTCGTTATATTGTCACAGATGCCTTCACCGCATCGACGACCGTCATGATCCTCAGAAGGCTAGTGCTTGCTGGCAGCCTGCTGCTGGCCACAGCATTCACCAGTGCCAAAAAAGCAGACAGTCCCATAATTATGGCCACGAGGTTCGATCATGAGCCCATCAACCTCTTCTATTTCGGTGACTCGGACGTCGTGATGCTCCAGGACATCAAGAATGGCGATGTGTATGTCTCCAGGGATGCCGGCGTGAAATGGGATATGGTGAATCTGGATGGATTAAAAGGACAAGCCTTGTCACTCTGGTCGCACCCAACAGATAGGACCAAGGCATACATACTAGGCAAGGCAGGAAAGCATTGGGTCACGAATGATCAGGCCGTGTCGTGGCATGAGTTTAGCGCCGATGTGGAATTCTTCCAATCCCTGTTTCCGCTAGTTTTCCACGGCAAGGATTCCGACCGGGTATTGCTTCAGGGACACAAATGTGTTGGACGCGACTGCAAGGAAGTAACATATTACACGACGGATGGGTTTAAAACAGTGGACATCTTAATTGAGAATGCACGGGGATGTAACTGGGCCGTTTCAACACCCATCTTTGGAGATGGGCTCAACCTGTCAAAGGAGGTGAACGATCGGATATTCTGTATTGTACCAGGATTGCAATCTCCTTGGTCGGATTATAATCGGCTCCTCTACTCGGATCGGTTTTTCAAGCAAGATTCGGGGACCGAAGCTCCGCTTGATAGCGGCCGTGCTGTCAGTGGCGTCGTGCGTACCGCAAGCGTGAAGAAATACCTGCTTGCTGCGGCGAAGTCGGCTAGGACGAGTGAGCTGGCGCTTTATGTTACAGACGATGGGTCCCAGTGGCATCGAGCAGAGTTTGATGGACAGAGGGTAGAAGAGGATGCATACACTGTGCTAGAGTCTACCAATTACAGTATTCAGATAGATGTGGTGGCAGAAACACCCTCGGCACCCATGGGCACGCTGTTCACGTCTAATTCAAATGGCACCTACTTCACACGCAATATTGACCACACAAACCGCAACGGCCTGGGATTCGTCGATTTTGAGAAAATCGCGACTATCCAAGGTATCATACTGGTGAATACTGTCAAAAATTGGGAAGATGTTGAAATGTCAGCTCTAGTGGAAAAGAAGATTATCAGCCAGATTTCATTTGACGATGGGAGGACTTTTCAGCCACTAAAGGCTGGTAAACATGACCTTCACCTTCATTCGGTCACCCATTTGTCTAACAGCGGTCGTGTGTTTTCAAGTCCGGCGCCCGGCTTGGTTATGGGGGTTGGTAACACAGGTGGTCATCTTAAGGATTACTACGATGGCGACTTGTACGTTTCTGACGACGCGGGAATTACCTGGAGGAAAGCTCTAGATGAAGCTCATAAATACGAATTTGGAGACCAGGGCTCTGTGATTGTTGCCGTATTTGATGAGGGAAGAACAGGCAAAATTTCTTATTCGCTTAACCATGGCAAGGATTGGAAAGAGGCCTCACTGCCCGATGGTATTAAAATTCGTGCAAGAATACTTACGACGATGCCTGACTCCACAGGTTTGAAGTTCCTGCTAGTTGGGTCCTCTAAAAGAGACTCCGACGTGGAACATTATGTCATCTCCATTAGCTTTACGGATATGGAAGAACGAACTTGCGGGAAGGATGACTTTGAAACATGGCCAGCCAGATTGAACGAGAAAAACGAGCCGGACTGCCTGATGGGCCATAAGCAATTCTATCAACGGAGGAAGGCGGATGTTGATTGTTTCATTAAGAAGAAATTCCAGGAACCAGTTCCTCAATTTGAGCCTTGCAAATGTACCGTGGAGGATTTTGAGTGTGACTTCAACTTTATCCGCAGTACCGAGGGCAAGAGTTGCGTTCCCGCCAGAAGCCTCCCGGTTCCTGAGGGTGCCTGCAAAAAGCCAAATGATAAGTACATGGGCAGCTCTGGGTTTAGGCTGATCCCCGGAAATGCGTGTATAAGGGAAGGCGGAGTGGAACTTGATAAGCAAATCGAACGTGTCTGCACAGATACATTGACGGTTCCTGTCAGTGGTGAGATTGTTGTTCAGAAGACATTTTTTACGGCAGACAATTACAAAGGTTACTTTTATCTTGAGCGTAAGGACAGCAGCAAAGGTGATGATGAAACAGTCATCATGATCACTAGTGAGCTACAAATTTATATTACCAGGGACCACGGCAAGAATTGGAAGGAAATTTTTCCTGGCGAAACCATAACCCGAATAGTCCCACACCAATACTTTGATGACGTTGCCTATTTCTTGACAAACAGTGGGGATGGCTGGTATACTCTGGACCGTGGAGAAAATTTTAGAAAGTTCAAGGCCCCCATACCTCCCAATCAAGACAAACTTCCGGTCTTATCATTCCATCCCGAACGGAGAGATTGGCTTATATGGACCGGCGCCGAGGAATGCAAGACACGGGGACCCCAATGCCACTCTGTTGCCTACTACTCTACGAACCACGGGAGCGAATGGCACTTCCTCATGCAATATGTTCGCAGATGCGAGTTCATAAAGAGAGAAGCTCGAGGCTCGAGCAACAATCTTGTGTTTTGCGAACAGTTTGAGAATGAAAATCCTTTGAACCATCATCTGCAGCTCCTCTCAACTGATGACTGGTTTTCTGAGAAAAAGGTCCACTATAACAATATTTTGGACTTCGCTACCATGCAAGAGTTTATAATCGTGGCAGTGCGAGGAGAGAAACCCGAAGATTCCCTCAGTGTGGGCGTTAGTGTTGATGGTGAGACTTTTGCATACGCTGATCTTCCAGCTAACGTTCAGATTCCGGTCCAACGGGCGTATACCGTACTAGAGAGCAGGACGCATGCCGCCTTCCTCCATGTTACCGTCAACAATGTAGAGGACCACGAGTACGGAAGCATCATAAAGAGTAACAGCAACGGAACATCCTACGTCCTTAGTTTGAGTGCGGTGAATAGGAATACTTATGGATACGCAGATTTTGAAAAAATGCAAGGCATGGAGGGTGTTGCTATGGCCAACGTTGTCGGCAATGTGGCAGATGTTGAAAAGGGAGCTGCGAAAAAATATCGAACCATGATTACGCATAATGATGGAGCGGAATGGGCACTACTATCTCCCCCAAGCAAAGATTCTGAAGGCCGCGACTATAGTTGCTCAACAGAAGGAGGGAAACCTACTGATAAATGCGCGTTACACCTCCACAGCTACACCGAACGTGCAGATCCCCGGGACACATACTCATCACCTTCTGCTATAGGCGTCATGCTAGGAACTGGAAATGTAGGTGAATATTTAACTCTTAAAAGCGATGCTGACACCTTCATCACCCGAGATGGCGGTATAACTTGGCAGGAGGTGAGGAAAGACAGATACCAATGGGAATTTGGCGACAGTGGATCCATTATCGTAATCGTGCCTGAGTCTCGCCCAACCAAAACTCTCCTTTATTCTCTGGACGAAGGCAAGAGTTGGAAGGAATTCCAATTTACAGAGGTCGAGATGCTGATCCGTGATATCTCTACCGTACCCTCAGATACCTCCCGAAATTTCCTGCTCTGGGGCAATGAAGTAGGCAATGGAAAGAAGCCCGGTGTCGCCGCTGTCAACATAGATTTTTCGAACTTAAAAGAGAGACACAAGCAGTGTGTTTTGAACGAAGAGAAGCCAGAGGCTGATGATTATTATCTCTGGGAACCTATGCATCCTTTCCAACCTAACGGATGCTTGTTTGGCCACAGAGCTAAATACCACCGGAAGCGACCTGATAGGGATTGTTTTATTGGTCGAGAACTTCAGCATTTGGATTCGATTGGGGATATTTGCGAGTGTACACGGTCAGATTACGAATGGTAAGTAGTCTCGTATAATTCGTCAATGAGTGGACACTAATTTCTTCTCCCTAGTGATTATAACTATGAGCCGCAAATCGACGGCACTTGTGCCCCTGTCCCTGGGCTTAAACCCCTTGACCCAAAACTTATCTGCACGGAGGATCCAAAAGCCGTCGAATGGTACGAACCAACCGGTTATCGACGCATACCTCTAACCAAGTGCGAGGGCGGCAAACAGCTTCACCACATCATTCCCCATGCTTGTCCAAACAAGGAAGAAGAATTCCTGAAGAAACACCCAGGCCTACGCGGCGTCGGCCTTTTCTTCGTCATTATGAGTCCCATCGGCCTCGCAGCCGCCATCGGGTATTATGTCTATACTCGCTGGGACGGCAAATTCGGTCGCATTCGCCTGGGTGACACGGGCTCAGGAGGCTTCTTTGCCAGTGATTCGCTCCTCATATCGATACCCGTGGCGATTGTGGCCGGTGTGGTCGCTGTTGCCACTGCGCTGCCTCTCCTGGCGTCCAGTCTCTGGCGCAGCGTGAGAGGGTATGCACGTGTACCTGGCGGGAGCTCATCGCAACGGGTGTATTCATCGAGGGCTGCATTTGCGGCGCAGAGGGCAGACTATGTGGGTGTTGTGGATGATGAGGATGAATTGCTTGGAGCGGAAGATTTTGATGAGGAGGAAAACGATGATAGAGGTCAAGTATGAGCTGTTTTGGAATTTAACGGGGGAGTAAGATAAAATTTTTCCTTGTTTTTTTTCCACATTGAAATACAAATGAAAATGATAAGATTATACTAGACCAAAGTCGAGCCTTGTTGTAGGGCCTTGTCATTTCTTTTCATGTATAATTTTGGTGCTTTCTTTCCAGGCTTGTTTTATCATATAATCAGGAAGTAAAGCTTATTTTTCTATCTTCATGTTGTCATGGCCATTTACCTATCTTCCATCTTATCCTCGTATGAACTCTTCGGCGGTTCGTTTCCCTTCGTTAAATGTTCTACTACAGATTATCACTTTTATAAGTGACGTCAATATTCCTTTCTCCCGCGCTTCTCTTCTAGGTTCTCTGCTTTGGGGCATCTAGGATTTGCGGCTGAGTATCTTTGTTAAAGATTTGTTTGTTTGTTCGAGATGGTTCCTGCATCTAGACTAAAGCCGTAGGCGTACACGAGCATTCCGATGGAGTTGTTGAAGTACACTTTGTTTATTAGTTTCAAATCAACATCCGTTCATAAGCAGAAATGACACTTCCAGTAAAGAGACCTGTTTCCTGCATACTCGTCTTGTTATCTGGACTCCACGCCAATCCATTCCCTTAAAAGAAGCCCTTTTTCCGTCAAATGCAGACTTCCGTTCGGGGTCATACACTATAGCCGCCCCTTGGGCTCCCCATAGCTAGAGGGTAGCTTATTTGTCCCGTAAGCCATGGCCTTCTTGTCAATCTCCGCTAGCCACAGTCGTCCTTTAGCATTCACCACCACTCCATCGTTGAAATGGATAATATCCTTCTGGTCTGTTGGAATAATTTCCATGAGAATCTCAAAAATTTCTCGTTTCTTCATCAATAAGACATATATATGCCCTGATAGTAAGCTGTGATGTAGCTGTCAGGTTTTCCCTGACGAAAGGACGCAACTGAGACACTGTCCTGGAGCTTCAGCTCTCGAGCTTTGCCTTGTGCAGCTCCAGTATCCGGGTAAACGTGCAAGATGTGCGGTTCGGGGGATTTGGCAAAACAGTCTAACGAATGCAGGGTTGAGTCTCCAGCACGGCAGTTGGGGGGGGGTTTCACCAAGGACCATTGGCAGATCGAATTTGCAGAAAGGAGACCGTCTCCGTCAATGGGAGATTCGATTGGACTGGGGGCTACCGGTAATGGTTCTACCGCGGCCATGACGATGAGTATGAGTGGCTGGAGTCTGTTTTTAGAATAGACAGACGGTGTAGATATATACCTAGGTTGATAATGTATTTAACACTCAAAATTTCATTACTTTGATCATGTTCAATCCGTATGTTCTCCTCAGGTAAGATCCCGCTTGCACATTTTATATTAGCATCTGTCCACCCACCAGATATCAATTTCCCCACCCCTTTCCCCTGCTTCTTAAAAGTGTTTTCATTGTGCAGGCCCATTCCTGGGAATCTGTACCTAGAATTGTAGAAATTGATATAGGAAACAAGCAGTCCTTATTCATCCACTCGGAAATACGAATATCAACGCTGATACGTACGTATCAACATTAAAAAATGTCTCATAAATTCCTCCTGACGCGAAAATATTCACCCTTTCGGTCATCGGGGCAGCTCATCAGGCCCAAATGAATTTGGAAGAAGCTATAAATATGGCGTCAATATATCAACGGAGACTGCAAGGACACCAGACGTATCCATTGTCTTCGAATATAAAAAGGCGCACAAAGTACGAGTACATACCTCGCCCATCGTCTTCATGACATACTTCCCATCCTTACCATACATGTAAACGGGGAAAGACTGAGTGCAGAACTCTCTCATACTTTTGAAGTTAAGGAACCACAGTAGCTCACATTAGCGATTGTAGAGCAGTATGTAACTATGGTTGGATAGTACGTCCCGAAGTAGCAAAGACACTAGGTTCATCAGACAGATAATACGTACAACTGCCTACACATCCCGCACGGCGAGGCGCCGGGAGAGATGTCTGTCGCGACTGCAATAGCTTTGAAGCTCTTGTGGCCTGCAACCTGGATGCAAATGGTGTTGTTAATGTCCAGTTCAACTAAGTGTAAGGATGCAGGATTTTGGCTTGGACAGACAGGTCCTGCGAGTAACATATAGGAAAGAGAGGTGTTTGACAGGGTGAATTTGCCGGGGTATAGTTGGAGGAGGAATAAGTGGCGATGAAACACAAAACCCAAATGCCTGGATATCTGAATTACAATGTAGATATCCAAACTTGACGACACCACGACCCCGCAGAAGAGGACACCGTGTCGGGTTCGACCTGGGGTGCTGCACATGGAAAAGGGACAATAAGCCGTGAACACCTTACCACTGCAGTCCCAAAAGCACATCTTTCAGCACATACGCCGACCGGGTAGCTGACATTCTCTACATTGGCGCCAACAACAAACTCTCCTTCTTCAGTGAGCAGACAGGCTCCCACGCGGAATTTTGAGTACGGGCCTGTCGTATTGAGAGCACTCGTTAGTGCGCTGGCGGGGATTCATAAGGGGGAAGATGAGATGGACTTGGTTGTTGCAGCGATTGGAGAGCGATTGGAGCTGGATTGGAGCTGGATTTCAATATACGAACAATACGCCGCTTCCTTCGCCGCGATAGCTTTTGATGAAAGCGTTTGGAGTTCAGTGGTGGACACTGCGGAGGGCATGTTGATATATATGGATATGTGTATGGGAATTCTTGTTGCTGGAACGGATAGGGCAATTGTATCGACGGGCGCCCTGTGGCTTTTGATTTATATCTTCATGGTGGAGCTGAGGGTCGGAAGTGTTAGATGTCAAAAGCTAAACTACTTATTGCAGCAGCTAAGTAACTGGTTAGTTATAGTGAACATTTAAGTATTCAGTGGTTCGCCCACCAAACCCCCTCCACCGCCAGAATTATGTGAAAAGTAATTCCGGAATTTTGATATCAACGCTACGCTACATGTTTGTACCTAGATGACGGTCATAATGGGATGAACCCACAGATGCATGATATGATATCAAGTAGCGAAATCAAATCAAAAAATCTATTCCCATAGCTATCTCTATTCACTGTTTATTGATCATCAATAACTTTTCTTTTCTTTTTTTCCTCTTTTTCCTCTTTTTTTCTTTCTTTTTTTCCTCTTTTTTTCTTTCTTTCTTTTTTCTTTCTTTTTTTTTTTTTAAGTTTTATTTTTTCCTCCTCTCAACCATTTTTGCCTTCCGCAATAAATAACCCATGCTCTTTTTGCTAACCTGACAAAATAGAAGGTAACAAATATGTGCACCGTAATGCGTAGCTCTCCGACTGCCTGACTGTTTCTATAAAGATGCCGGGCGAATTAAGGAAAAGGGAAACAAGCTGCTAGAAATTAAGATATAATAGCCAATGAGGACAGAAAACAACAGAGAAAATCAGAAATCAAGGTAGATCAGTTCCTTAGCTAGATAAGCCCGCCAGAACTTAATAATACCCGTTTCGCCTAGATTGATATATAATCGAGGACAAGATACACAAAAAAGGAAAATAATAGAAGCAATGTTCGCAGGATTGATAGCAAGAAGTTTGTACGGCTATGTGTGCTTGTGAAGAATGCCGTAAGGAAAAGGAAAGATAAGAAGATATTACCACACTGTAAGGATGGCGAGGTGTTGGATGGGGAGAGAGGAAGAAGAAAGTGGAGAGAAGATGACATCATCGTTATAATCAGAACGGTCATAGATAGTGGCGCAAAGCTTCGTAAATCGTGAATATGAATGCAGAGCTGGGTGCAGAACGGGCACAAGTGATGCCGCAGCCACGGTATAGCCCGGCCAAACCCTGTTGCTTCCAGAGAGCCTTTCCCACAGCCCAAAAGGTGGGCCGTCTGGAGTTGACGGTTGTATGGCCGACGTCCTCCGTCTGCATGCGCGACTTAATGGTGTCCGCGGGGTAGAAGATGAAATTGTAGCTTATCCCCGCTGCGGCGCCGGCAAGCAAACGCTGGTGAACTGCTAGCGGTTCGGAAGCTGACGATGACACTATGGGATCTGGGGTGGCGCTGCTCAAGTCTGCTGCCGTTGTTGCTGTTGCTACTTTGGAAGCGTTGTACCGTTTAAAGAAAGCTAAAACACCCTCATAGCTCCCGAACCAAGCAGCTGACCCCCCCGTTTCTCGAATAAGTGTACCCATCTGCCCGCGCCAGAATCCCAGCAAACCATCATGACGGAAGACGGCTGTAATTAGAGACAAAGGGCCTGGAGACTTGTGATGGATGCTACCAGGAGGCACTTGCATCTTACACTTAATGAGTTCGACGGGCGTTAGGAGGAGGGAGGTGAATGCTCCTGCTGTAGCACCGCAGACGAGCAATGCGGACTGAGGCAGTTCGGGCACAGAGGCGTACAGGGTCGACTTGAGAAGCTCCTGGGTGACACGATAGCTGAAGAACAGGCTGCTTGTTTCAAGCGCTGCTCCGACGAGCGGGGCACTGATGCCCCGATAGAGTCCATTGATCCCACCGGCCTGAAAGGACTGGCGAAAGCAATCGATGGGACCCTTGTATCGTAGTGGCAGGCCATCTGGTTGGGATTGAAGGCGTACTTTGACAGTGTCAAAGGGATATTCGATAAACTTTCCTGCAATGCCAGCAGTCTGATACGCAGCACGATGGATATTAGAAAGAACCCTTGTTCTTCCACTTCTTAAAATAAATAAAAAATAAAAAAATAAAAAAAATCCCAACTTTGGAAACTACAACTAGAAAGAGAAGAATCACATACAGATCCATATACCACATCCTTCAAAGCCTCTACGCCGTGACTTGTAGTGGAAGGGAAATCGGCCAGCTCCACCGCCATTTCGGTTTCTATGGCGCCCGGAATCTGCGGTTTCACAGCATCCATTGCTCGGGAGTGTGAAACAGACCGGGACGGGGGAAGGGGAGGGAAGAGAAAAATAAAGACGGTTTTGTTGTTGGGGGGGGGTGTTATCGGAAGAGCATTGTATATCTGTGAGGAATATATACTCGGCTAGGTGAAGGGGGATGGAGTCCAGGAGATATAGTAACGGTGGTGGAAGTTGCATTAGTAATTAGATGTCGAGGTAGTTGGCGTTTGACCGTCATCATACGGAAGAGAAAGACGGATACGGAGCAGTTTATGAGATTAAATACGACATACTGTGTGGGATGAGCACAGGAGGAACAGGCAAGCCACAGGCCGGCAGAGAATGTACGGAAGACGCAATTTTGGAGCGGGCGGGGAGATCAAGGAGGGGATTCTGCAGTTCAGATTGTGGTTGGCTGGATGCTTGGATGTTTCTTACTGGTGATGCACACTGAGGGCTGGTGGTGAAAGCGTCGTTGGTGGTTGGTCTGTATGGTTGGATGCTTAAAGAATCGAACAAAAAAGAAAATAAAACGGGGCGGCTTCGGGTCAAATAAATCGCCGAGATCCGGTTATCTGATGGCACCAAGATAATATCCATGCCATTTCTGGTTTAGCGCAACCCCAACTGCTGCTAGAGCGTTAGTCATCCAGTCCAGGCCCGATTGGGGAAGATGCGGTACCTCGGTTTCATTTTCTTCACGCAAATCGGTAAGAGAGCGACGGAGAGACGGAGTGGAGAGACAGAGGAGACACAGTCAGAGCCAGACAGAGCACTCCTCCAGGACGCTGCGGGGATCTGGTTTTTGGTAATATTACCGACCGACTATCCCATTTTCTATCAATTTACCGCAGACACCCTGCCCTCTATTGCCATGTCCGCCGCTCTCGAAACCGCGGTGAAGGCTTCAGAGCCCGCATCACAGGCACCCAAGGGCATGCGGAAAAATGGTATGAAAAGATTTATTGTCTGTCATTATTTTTAGTGCTGCTTTCTCGAAACATCCGTATTAACGCGTCTCTCAACCCTGCCACTATAGGCAAAAACTGGCACGGTACCAAAACACCCTTCCGCCCAACTGCCGGTCAGACGTCATATTTAAAACGCCTCGAGGAACGAAAGGCCCGTGACGTTATGAAAGAAAGGGAAAAAGAAATGAAAGATGAGAAAGAGGCTGAGCGTCAGGTATGGGCACTGGCTTTTGAGTTCTTTTCACCCATTGGGATTGACGCACTTTAGTCGAAGCTAATCTTTATTCCTTTCGCTACTCACAGAGACGGATACAGGCTATCAGAGATCGCCGGGCCGCCAAGGAGGAGAAGTTACGGTATGAGAAGATGGCGGAGAAGATGCATAGGAAACGAGTAGAACGGCTCAAGCGGAGAGAGAAAAGGAATAAACTTCTCAATTCTTGAGTATGTTGGGCGGAATTGTTTGTTGTATTCCTCTTATCATATATACCATGAAGTTGACGTTTTTGGGGTAGGCAATATTTTAATTTGTGTCGCACGATTCTCACCTGGGTTATTTAACTATCTTGCTGCATACGAGGAGAATGATATCCTGACCCGCAATAATCATATAAAAATAAGAGAGACCATATTTACTATCTGCAACCAATCTTCAATGACACCTATTATCAGCGTCTTGGGTGTAAATATGGCTAGTAACTAACAAGGCAAGGGTCTCTCCGCCAAGAACCTCCCAGTTCATAGAGCTCCCTGTCAAGAGACGATAAAACGCACGCCAACCCCAGCCAGAGCCCCAAATGACAGCCATCCAACTACCACAACCGCATGGCATTGTTCAGCAATAATAAAGAATCTAAAGTTGCAGCCACTGCGGGAAATAATGGCCCACGAAACCCTATTTGCAGCTGCGGGAAGCCCCTCAGCGAGCCTACCGCCGCCCATCCATGGTTCACCTCCGAGCGCCCAAGCTCCAGGTGCCACAAACAGCGTCACCCCTCAGCAGCAACAACGACGGCAACAACAACAGCAACAACAACCACTGCACAGTATCACCAATAGACTACCCTCGTCCGCCTACAGCACCCATTGGCAACCTCAACCGCCAAAAATATACACACCTCTAAACCATTACAACAACCTTTCGCTGCCAGATGAGTTCTGGTCGTCTCCTGCCAAGCGCCATCGTCTCCACCACCACCGACACCCGCTGCGCCATCGTGACCACGACCAGCAACCACTGCAGCAGCAACGTGACTGTCTAGCACAAAAAGGGGACCGTGACAGAGCTGGAAGTCCCGAGAAACGCAAGCATCGCCATAGTAAACACCATGTGTCGCGGGATACAAGGTTGCCCAAATCTATGAGGGAACATGCAAATATGAGTTTACGACCTGGAAAATATGTGCATAGGGAAAGAGGACGGGGTGGTACGAGCGAGATTGTTGTTGCTGCTGCTGCTACTACTACTACTACTACCACGTCTACTACACCTCAGTCTGAGACAAGTGGACAAGATGGTAGTGATAGTGGCGTTGCACAGGGGCCGCTGTTAATTGGGAAGCGGAGAGAGAATGTCACAATGGGAGAAGTAAGAAGGGAGACGATGCGGAGGATGAAGGAGGAAGAGTGAGTTTAATATTCCAATTTACTATTTATCTGCTACTACAAATGGAACGGGGAGTTCAACTCCCATCTCAATCTCCACCCAGAAGGGCGGCTGCTTGTTAATGTATAGACATCCCATCTTCACATAACATACATGCTAACAGCCAACAGAGCAAACCGCGCCTCCCTCTCCGTCCTCGCCATCCGCACCGCAGACATAAACCGCTGCCTCGACACAACCTACTACAACCTCCTCGAAAAGATCTCAAACCTCCACCACTCAATCTACTCCTTCCACGACCTCGCCAACGCCGCCTCAACCCTCCACACAGGCTTCACGCACGAAACCGACAACCTAGACCGCGATGCACGCAAGCAGATTGACGATTTCCAGGGCTTCGCTGCGCAGGTGCGGCGCATCGAGTCCCTGGAGGCACGCATGCGTGCCAGCTCCCAGATGGCTGCCGAGCTCAGTGGACGTATGGAAATTGTTAGGCGGCAGATTGAGGAATGGGATCGGCGAGAGATTGAGTGGCAGGCGCGGGTGGGGAGGCGGTTGCGGATCTTTTGGGCTTTTGTGGTTACGGCCCTTGTGGTGGCTGTGGTGGCGTGGGTGGTTGGGCAGGTTAGGGCGTTTCCAGTGACGGCGGGGGAAGGGGTTGTGGATTTAAACGTGAAAAAGGGGTTGGGGACGCTAGAAATTGGTCCGCTGTAAATGGGGATGGGAGCTTTATGTGTAAGTTGCTTGAGAGCGTTGAGCTGGGGGACGAGGCGGGGGGGGGGCGTCGATCTAGTGGAAGATGAGACGTTCGCGGAACTTCTTTCAAGACGGAGGGGTTTTGACTTCTTCTTCATTTTAGTTTCTTTTCCTTTTTCATATAATGTGGGAGAATTTTCAGGAGTTAAAGGGCATGGTAGGAGTGTATGTGGCATTGGGAAATAATTATGCACAAAGCTGCTTGATAGGACATATGGGAACAAGGCATGCGATGATGACGTGTTTTGCACTTTTCTTGCATCATGATGCCCAGTGAGTGAATGTGGTTTAATTTCATAGTCAGTTTCTTTTCCATTCCGGATGTCAAATATGAATGTCATCACTCGTCTTTTCGTGCATTAAATTATTCTAATGTCACATATAGAGCAACCCACGTCTCTAATTCCCGTCATGAAAATCGTTAATTTAGATATTCATACAACCAAAAACCCCTCGCTCCAATTAAAGGAAATAAAACATATGGAAATGAAAAAAGAGAAGAAAAAGAGCCACCAAACCCCCCCAAACCCCCCATCACACCTTCAGCTCCTCACCCAGCAGCCTTTTTCTTCTTATCCTCAACCAACTCCACATTCTCCTCTGGCACCTTCTCACCATAATGCTCAATCAACCAATCCAAAATCTCCTCACTAACATCTCCCTGCACCGTAATCTCCTCACCCATCCCCCCCTGAACCGTCGACGCCACTCCCGACGTCGCCTTTGTCACCGAACTCCCCGTCGCAAATTTCTTCCCCAACTCCTTCGCAATCTTCTTGTTCTCTAAACCATGGGCTTCTAGGCCAGAAATGATGGTGACATACTTGCGCTTGCTGCGCTCGACGCGGCGGATCTGGACTTTGGCGGCGGCTTTGCGTTCCTGGTTGCGGGTTTCGGCTAGGGCAGCTTTGGCTTCTTTCTTCGCAGCGTCTTTGGCAGCACGCTCGCGGGCGGAGAGAGAGAGTGTGCTTAGGTTTGCGGTTATGGTTTCTTTTCCCGTGGAGTTTGTTACACAATATATAATTAGTTATGTGGATTGTAAGGTATTTGAAAGATATGTGAAAAAAAGCGAGTGGATGTTGCCGTTGGCGGGACGAATGGGTGCTTCAATGGATTGTGAAAGCCAGGATATGGCATACCGTCAGAGTATAACCGCTGGTACATATCAGGATGGTTATCTTGTAGCCATTCCTGGCATTTCTTCACTGTACCGCCGAATTCGCAATACTAAATCACCATCAACAAAGGAGTTAGTATACCTGTCACATCGCAACTCGTGCCACTGGAGCACGAATATGAACTAAATTGATTAACACGAAGTACGGAGGTATAACGCACCTCAGGTGGAAGGGAGCAAACTAAGTAATATGAGAAGGATTAGTTGTCTAGCTATATAAAAATACAACGCATTTACAATCCGGCGGAATGCCTCTTGGGAGCGGAACAGAGTGGGAAAGGCTTTCGATAGGCAAAATGGAAACTCACCTCCACAGTAAACTATATGTCTTGCTTGGGGTTCAGGGTGCGTTGCTGAAGATTCATGAGCTGCCGTATCTGCCATAGTTTCTAAGATTCGAATGTAGACGATGTGATGATCAGATATTATCTTTTATAATTCTTAATTATGGCACTGTTGGTTTCGATCAAGCCCTCACTTTTGGTAAATAATATACTCCGTATTGGTATTACCGGAATATAGTGGTTCCGCTCCTTAACGTGTGCCAGCCTCTTATTAGTATATACAATTTTCAATATTGTTTAGAGATCATTGAACTAGAGGCATAGCCAACCGGGGTTTCGATACTTTTTTTTCTCAGTTATTTAGTCTTTTCAGATTTCTCTTTCTTCTCACGTGTCCTGGGCCCGTGCCTGGGAGGCATTAGTTATGGATCACACATTATTTTCGCCCAAGCCTTATTGATTGTTGTCATATCGAGCCGCGGGCCTAAAATCATGCCAAAAATATTCTGGTTGGAACATATCAACCATTTCTTAGTTAACACTTTATAGGCCGAAGGAGCTTCTTTGGCTATGACTCTGTTCGTATAGGCGACGGCTTAATATACCATAAGAAAGTTCGCGGGGAAACGGAGGAATTAGCCATAACCGCTTCAAATGACAGGCGCACAGTCCTATAACTACCAACAAGGAATTGGCTGAAGTGGAGTGTGGCAAATATTTACTGCCTTGGAATGATATAGCCAACTCAAATTTGAAAACGACAAGCTTATGATGAAGAAGTCCCTCTCAAAGGATAAAAATATTTAGCTGCAAAATTTTCAAGATGAGTTTCCTAAGAATTTGCTATAGTATCGTTTTTAATATATATGGCAAACGAAAAATGGATATTGAATGGAAAGGAAGCCTAGTTCTGGTCTCTTATATCCCAAGGTGTTCCATGATCGAATATGCGATAGGGGTATTTCACCCACCTACCTCGTGAAGTTATGATAACCTTTTTATTTATTTATTATCTATTTTGGCTGATTCAGTCCAAGGAGTGCAGTGACCTCGTTCCAGAGGAAGGCGCAGCACGACCTGCCCCAGATGCAAAAACTTCAGCAATCTCAACATCTCTATTGCTGCATAAACCATTCCGAGCTTCGGTATTTATGATCTCCATCGCTAACAAATGAAAGCCTGTGGCAGCTCAAGACCTAGATAACACTATATAGAGATTTCAAGCTTCTGGTAACTACAATACTGACATGCTGCAGGATCATCCTCACCATGGACACTGCCACCGTCCCCACCACTCCCGTAGACTGTTTCAGGAGCAATCTGCCTGCATCAACTTTTCTGGATGCTGGACTAGGTTCAGAAGGTCCACCAAATCTACATGCCGAGCTCATACATGAAAAGTCTCGAGCTTAATTAGCAGATACTAACCAAATAAGCAAGTTACAAGTTAAATGAGGATCATGAATTCTGCATAATGAGTGAAAATTGTTTATCCGAGCCTGAGCATGTAACTGTTTTGTATGGCTTTTTTTTTGCTGCAGCCATCAGGGGATAACAAGTGGTGCAAACTGAGCCGTGAAGTCTGAAAAGACCCGCAGTGCACAATTGATTCAACATTTCAGCCATTTCGCACTTGTTGATAGGCTTCCCTTTCTGCAACATTGTGTCAGAAAAAAGTTAGGGAGATGAATGAGGGAATATGATTTTGTCGCGATATCTGTTTATACCTGACCATATGCCTGCGATTTCATGATTCCATTTTTGTGCATTCTTATTTCTGAAGCAATTCGTTAACGGCTGCCTGTTTAATCAAGATGGAGATCAATGAGATTTCAAAACCTAGATAGAGCAAACCTTCAGCCTTTATACAGAAGTACGATGCGGCTGAAATAATGTCGTCGTAGGGTCGGCTCAGTTGCCCGTATCCTTGGGTGAGCCGCGCCTAGCGCTTAAATAAGCTTTTTTGTTCACTGTTAGCTCCAAACTTTAATTTGAAGGTATGTGGAAGTCGCGCGCCGCCTAAGAAATGGCGTGACAGAACCTTGCCCGTAATTATTTCTCCAGACCAACGAGGGTATGCAGCAAAACAACCCTGTCCAATGGGATATTTTACAGATTCATGACATGTATGATTTTGGATAAGATTCTCAATTTAACAACGAACACTTTCTCAATGCTACTCGCCTAGGCTAGGATACGATCCGCGTGCAGTGACCTAACGAGACCCCTTCGATTCTTCGCAAATTACCGGAGTTTCACGTAGAGAAATAGAAAACGCGAAGCAAACCAATCATGGGTACTACCACTACCCTCAACCAGTCTAACAACAACCGCCGACCCCTTTCATTCCTCCACCTCCCTCCCGAAATCCGGCACGAAATTTATACCCTGGCACTAAGCTGGCCAAACCTCCGTGTTCCTTTCGCCCGCCTCCGCTATGAATGCGAAATGGCAGAAGCAATCTGGTTCACCTATAGGCCTCGCATTTGGCCCGCTTACTTACCGCGTACCAGGTGCTCCTACTCCTATCCCAAGAGCGCCCTTCCGCCACCTCACATTCCCAAATCAGACTATATCACTCCCACTGTCTTCCTCCTGTGTAGGCAGATAACCTATGAAGCATTGCCAGTGCTGCATGCTCAGGAACTAGTGATCGACGAACCACCACCTTACTCAATGGCACTGGGGCGACCGGTGGATATCTCGATGTTCATCTCAAAAGGTGCCCTGCAGCAGGCTAGACGGGTGGTGTTAAAGATTGACATTGCAAGTTTGGCCAGTAGGTGGGCGCGGACGGTTGATACGTTGTTGGATATCTGGTATGCGGGCAATCGTTTGGAGGAGTTGAGGGTTGTGGCTTTGGGAGACTTTACCAGGAGAAGGTCGATTATTGTTGGTGAGGAAGGGATGCGACTGATTGTTTTGAAAATGTTTGAGAAGGTGGGTTGCTTTTTTTTTTCTTTTCCTTTCCTCATTTCGCCGCTTACTTCTTTTCTGCTATTTAACAAGAGGCGTTAATTCTGACGTTACCCCTTGATTTTCATTCCTGGATTAATAGTTGAGGATTTTTGGCGACGATTATCCTTCAGGTATCAAGGTTCTATTTGAGGGTTATAGTCCTTCACCTCCGGTTAACTAGGATCTTGAGCCTAGCCTGAGGTTTGGGGCTATTGGGAATTGAAAGGTATTTATATTAGAGACGATAATCCCTGATCTTGATACTATTGGGGGCACAACGTTACCAAATGGATCCCTTTCTTTGCAGATACGGATGTGCAAGCATGATATCCGCCTGTGTACCCAGTGCCGTTCAATTGGGTTCGCCTTTGAATTGACCGTAAGAAATAGCTAAGAGCGTTTCTCGAAGACCGTTCTTCTGGAACAATGTGTGAATTCTTCATCTCACATGTCCTCCCAACCTGAAGAACACCATGGGCTAAGGATGACCTAAACCCATATCCGGATGGCATGGCCTTAGCAAGCCCTCCTACGACGGCATTCTTGTGTAACTCCTTGGTACATCTTTGGTACATTCTGCGTCACCACCCCACGAACACCCCGCCAGTTGGCCAATTATCAATTCATTGGCAAAGCACACCCATCGTTCTCTGTTCTCCGCATTTGACAAATCCACATTTTATACGGATTTCCCATCAACTAGCAGATTTCGAATCCCATTCAGCCTGTAATTTTTTTTTGGTACCCCTTTCACCACCAAGCCATTGGCCTGTAACTTTTTACCCCCTTCAACTTTGGGAGAGCACTGAAAGCATAGCTTAAGGGGGTGGAATAACTGGAGTCAGTAAGGTATCCATATCATCTTCCCCGCCAACTCCAGCTCAAAATCCGTATATTGCGGGACCTGGCATTTAATTCAGTTCCCCTATCCCAATGTTCTGTTCTTCTCACACAAACATTCATTTATAGATTCCTTTTCCTGTCCAATCCTTTTCTTTCCTTTCTCACTAAAGATAAATATCTCTAGAGCTAGAATCAAGTATCATGTAAAAGAATTTGTGGATATTGCACATATCATATCAATAAGCAAATTGACTCCTAACCGTTTCTATTCCGCCAAACTTGCACAGCGATAACAACGTACTTTAACACTCCGACTATCTCCGACTTAAGCCACTTAAACGCCTACCCACAACCAGGGTTTAAAGTATCCAAAACTAACCCAAAAATAGCGCTATGACGTCTGTTAAAGTATGTATGAGCTTTGATACTGTCGCTGATGCTGTTCCTTAACAAAGCCAGAAATTTTCTTGTGGAGAACAGAAAGCACCTGGCAGTGATATGATATACGTTATTGTTCATTTCCTTGGGCTGTCATCGCTAGTTGCAATCATAGGGACCCAACATTATAAGTCTACATAGAAATGGGCAGCAATGAGAGGACTAACCGCCGACTAGTGTGAGTTGGCCCTACGAATGATCATATCGGAAGGCATTACATGTTTGTATGTACATGTGGAGAGTAGGTGTGTTCCAAGTGGGTCGTTAAGTGTCTTTTTGCATCATATTCTGGTGTATCTCCGAGGATCATTCCACTGGCGAAAACGAACGCCATCCTCTTTCCCACTGATAACTCCGGCACGATCTCGAGAAGAATGATTCCGGTGTTCCCCGCATTTTCGCTCCAAGGTATCTGAATATAAAATTTACCTACGGTTTGCCGTCCCGTGTTCCCGGAATGTCCCTGTTCTCATTCTCGCTTTTGACCCTTGCCGACTCCGTACTGTCCCGCAGATAGATACACCTGGTACCACAAACGTCATGTCCCACATGGAAAATGGCATCTGTCATAATTAAATAACGCCCTCTTTTTCCCCAGTACCTGACACGCCTCCTGAGAAAGGTAATAGAATGGGATGAGAATACCACGCCACTGCGGGCCCCAGCCCACAATTGGCGCGATTAGCGACTGCCAGAGTAGGGTTGTTCGTCCGCTTTGACCATTCTTCAGTCCAGAGCCCTGGCGGGGTACATTATAAAACAGAAGTTAAAGAGAATGAATGAATAATCGATGAAAACAGAAAGTGACTTGTGGGCACGATTTGCTATGGGCACGATTTGCAATGGTAGCTTATGTATTTATTTATCTCTTTGAGATCCACCAGTCAAGCATGATCAATGAACCTTGAGAAAGATTGCTAAACTCGTCGCCCCTCAAATAAAGAGAGGGATGCAAGACTTCAAAAAGCTGGGCAAGGAGATATGCGAGAACAAACTCTTTAAGCAAAGAGCTACACCCATTAATGGACTGTACCTGGCTTCCTAAGATCGGTGAGCCATTCAATGACAAAAAATAATCTTTTAAAAAAGTCAGTTAAGTCTTTTCCTCCAGGGGTTTAGCAAAATTTTGGCAGATAAGTTCGCAGGATAAATGCGGCACATCAAGAGAGAAAACCCGGAATTTCCAGGGAGTCTAATTTGAAACCCATCTTCTCCAATCCTTCGACCCTATCCCTATCAAGGGCACACTTGGGAAGCCATGTTCTAGATGGAAGTGGGTCGGAGATGTGCAGCTCGCTGACCTTAAGTCGCAGGTCTGGAACTTTGAAGACAGGGGTCGGAGCAATTAACTACCGAAGAGATAGTTGCAACCATCAACCAGTGAAGAATCAACCAGAGCGCTAGAGGGAACAACGAGGGATTGGACATTTTTTTTTCCGGTACTCAATTCAGGGATCCCTAGTTAACTACCTTCTGTACACTTTGTAAAACACATAGAAAATAGGAAATCCTTTAATTGATTCTAACCAGCAATCTGGGCAGGGATAATGAGACAAAACATTGGAAATAGAAAGGAGAAAATAAAAGAGAAGAAGCAAAGAGTTAACCATACTTCAAGTTGCCCACACTCAGAATCGAACTGAGGATCTTATCATTACTAGTGATACGCTCTACCACTAAGCCACGCGGGCGTATTTGTTTTTCGTCTTTCCTCAATTAATTTTTTCTATTCACAATCCGCGTACTCGGCTCCAATAATACGTTGTTTATCCTCTCAGTTCTCTTGATCATGCACTGCCACCCAGCAACCATGTTTAAACCTTTCCACGTTGTTCCGTCATTGCACTGATCTTGGAAGTCCCGTTCATGCTTTCTCAAACCATGTATTTTAGGCCCAAAATTGTTCCTGCAAAATTCAAGTTGAGTGAGGGGAAAGCCGAAGTTCTACAGCAAGCTCTCCAGGCTGTCTCGAAAGAAAAACCTGTTCTGAGCCGGTTATTTTCCGCCATTGAGGGGAAAGATAAGCCACTTAGGGGCACAGAAAGCCTCATCGAACGACAGGTTAAAACTCAAAGGGGGCCGTTTGAAGATGCCCTGGTAGTCGAGTTAATCGGGGTTTACAACAACGGTCGAGTTGGCCACTTTGACTCGTGGGGTTGCTGATTCGACCATAAGCTGGCTTTCTGGAGTGAGATTCAAATATAAACTTTCTAGGCGACGCTCAAGTTTGTTGTCAACAATGAAGACAAGGAAATCGATAGACCTAGCATGCCTAGCCACTATTGTCCTTGTCGGCTCTGATGATCATCATCGGCATCATGCTAGGGAGGACAGAGGGGGCCAGGTTGATTTTCTAGCACGCTGAGTAACTATGGGGAGTGATGATATCAAGATGCAGCACGATGCGATAATGGCTGATTATTATTGGCGAAGCAGGGATTGGTGCCCTCACTTTTGACGCCATATCAAGGGAAACAGTTGTAGCGCTGATGATTATCTCGACATAAATATACTGTCCTGGTTTCTATTATTGTGTGATTCGCTTTCTTGTTATTTATCTACATTGTCTCATTCTCTATCGACAGGAATGCATCCCGTAGTACAGAATACGCACAGTAGTGGTATTTACTCCAATTTGCCTTGATATCTAGGGTGTATTGGATGGCTGATTTCCGCGTATGACAGGGGATTGATTAAATGAGCTCTGCCTTGAATGCCTTGATTGTGGGGAATCCCTTTCGTCTCCATTAATCATGTTGTTCTGGGCAATATGGTTGTGTTTGGGGATTAACGATGATGATGAGGGAGGAGAAGCCAAATACTAGGGTTAGATAGATATAAATTTGATGGTAAGAAAATGTAAGATACATATATTTAGTTTTCGTGGGGAGCTTGAAAAGGTATACTTATTTAGTAGCACAAAGAAGAGACAGCATTGATATCCCATTATTTATTATGCCAATGGTGGTTGATGAATCAATACATAATTACATAGTTACATGTGTATGTGTATGTACATCGCATGTGTCGAGAGATTCTTGATATGTGGTAGAAGAATGAAGGCGAAATCCTGTTATGTTAGGTTAGAGTACGGAGTAAGAGTAGCCGTCCATAGGTAATGAGTGGATAGCGAGAATCAGTCGGGGGCCCTGAATCAATCCTTGGGTGGCGTTAAGATAATAAAAAATTAAAATAAGTAGATACATAAAAAATAATAGAAAACCTGACTCAATATCAATTTTTTAGTCGATTGCGGACAGAAAGTCCAGGCCTGTGGGGAAGAAAACCGAGAGGAAAATACACCTTTTAGTTTAACTAACTATAGGTCAGATAAGTCACTCCCCCTCGCTTCTTTCACGAGCTCTGTCCCATTAAGTTACGCCAAGTTTCTTACACTTCATTGTGTCGAGCGGTATTATTTATTCTGACCCGTCCCCTACATATAAGTAATCTATAATATATATATATATATATATATATACTTCACCTTTCTGTGGTTCCTCGATGCTTTTGACGCAGCAATCCAAGCCTCATTTCTGCTCTGCTTCCGCGTCCATTGACCACCAAATTCAAACTTCGGGTTCAGATCCAAAGAGAACGCATCAATTAATACACAGCATCATCTGTCTGCTGGTTAACTTTAGAGTTAGCAACAGATCGCAGTTCCTGCTGTTTACTCATCAATAGTTGTTTATTCCAATTGACTGTGGTTCTCCCAAGGTTGAAGTTCTGGATGATCTAATTAACCAGCCGGTTGAGGTCTTTTCATACTTTTCGCTTACTCTCACCAAAAACGCTCTCCCGATTCCATACCTTTGCCTGTGCAGGATTTCCTCCCAATTATTCCCTCTAACTACGTCTGTTCTTTCGAATATAAGTGTCACTGTCTCCAACTACGAACCACTTGGCATTTACGACTGGTTTTCTGGCAGTTCCACTGCATTCAGTTGGCCGCTTTTGATCGCCTCATATCCTCGACCTCTTGATTATCATAACCCCCCAAGCATCAACGGTATCACGGCGCAAGCTTCGACACAACCCCAAGGCATCGATCTACGGCATTGGCGGAGTCTCATGCTGCTCAGACCATGACCACTTTGCTACCCGCTCTACCAGAGAGGGATGTTCTGTCATCTCCAGAGCCCCATCGACGAAAGCGAGATAATCCGTCCTTCCTAAAATCACAATGCCAATATCGGAAATCCCCTGAAGTTGAATGCTACCCCGTTCATACCAGTTCAATATCTTCACCCTCATCAACGGGACAGTCTTCTCCCATCTTCTCGTCGGTCTTCTTTCATTCCAGCCCTCCATCAATCACCCTACCTCCCACACCTGAAGAGCCAGAGGACGATGAGATAGTATTCCCTTCATATGACGCAGCCTCTTGCGGTGAAGAAGACGATAAGGCGTCAGTCGACTCTGCGCTTTTCTCTCCCAACTCTCCCACGACGGATCAATGGAGATGCGATTCCGTAATGCCTCTGGTTGTTGGGGATGATGCTTCTATAAAGGATGAGCCTACGAGACATGTTGACTACCTCTCGCACGATTGGAAAGAGGAAGATATTTGGAGCTCTTGGAGGTATATCGTTTCCAAACGGGATGAATATAACAACGGCATGAGGTTAGAGAACGCAGCCTGGAGGACTTGGGCAAAGGCAAAGCATCGACTTGGAACTGTCACTCCGGAGTCTCTGAATTGGTATGTCATCAACTACTTTTCTACTATTCAATAAATGATATGTCTGTATGGAAGTTAAGCTAATTATTTGACTACAGGCTCAAAGATTGCGATGTTACTTGGCTTTATGGCCCATTACAGACCTCTTCCAAACTATCCCCATCGGTTTCCTCTCCACCTCCTACTCGCCTTTCCACTTCTGGCTCCTTCCTTCATAAAAAGCCCATTCTCAAGAAGAGAACGGCCTCTCAGGCCATACTCCAACGCTCCATTACGACCCGAACACTCCTCAGTCATGCGGGTGCAATTTTGAAAGCCCGAGAGGCAGACTCTTCAAGGGGCCGTCCCGGTCTAGGAAGGTCTGCCTCTGACTATGTTCTTCCCCAGACATATTTTGAAAATTCTAGTAGATCGACCATGTCTCCTGGTACCGAGACTCCCAGCGACCGACGCCATATCAGCTTCAACGATGAAGTTTCGCAATGCATCGCAGTTGAAGGGAAGGACGATTATTATGATGATATGGACTATAGCACGATTGTCGACGATGACATGTTATCTGAAGATGGTGTGCTTATGATGCGGGAAATGCCGCCACGACCGCGACTAAGCAATCAAAGTACCCCACGAAGCAGCTTCAGCAGCGATAGCAAAACTATCGCCCCATTACCGCCAACCACCCTTAAATACCGTAGGGATACCCCAGAGCCTGATGTCCAGGCACCTGTTAGATCGTCTCCATATTCATGGTGGCCTTTACCAGTCCCGCGCCTTTCCCATTCTGCTTCAACGGAAACGCTCCGTCCTCCGAAGCATCAACAATGGCAACAAGTTCATGAGAATTTCCTTCTTGACGACCGTGATGATGAGGGTGATGATGATGATGATGCCACTGTTACGTCCGACATGGATGTGAAGTGGCATTTACCGGGCCGAAAAATGGGCGAAGATGAGCTACCTGCTTATAATGGGTTGTGGTTCAGCAGCGACTCCAGCAAACACCAACAGCAAAATAGTAATGATTATCACAATCACAACGATCATAATAACAATCGAGAATCATATTTCTCATCTTCGGACCGGCTTTTCCCATTCGATTACGACGAATTGTATGATATTGACGACGCCACCTCACGCAATGATGAGGGGGAAGGGGAGCATATGAAATTTGGGTTTATCGGCAAGGTTGTCGATACTGTTAATACCGCGAAGGATATCGCGCATGTTATTTGGAATGTCGGCTGGGGGAGCTAAATACTAACCCTTCGAGCCAGCAACTATTGACTATGAAAAGGACGCCTGATGCTCCGTTGAATGGCCTCAAAGCACCTCTCCATCTTCCCCTCCCACAATCTTCAAAATTTACACTCCACCCACCCACCCATGCCTATTTTACGTCTAAATACCCTCCACTTTCCCCTTTTCTACTTGCCATTCTTGTACGGTACGGCTATACCTCCCGCTTCTACAAACGTGTTTAACTTACACACATTGTACACTGCCTATACACTCGCATTCGCCTGTGTGTCCTCCTTATCGTGTTATAGCCGTACACCCCCAAGGACTTGGCTGGTTAATTGTATCCCTTTTCCTTTTAAATTTCCTTTTACTACAAATGTGCAACAGTGGAGCAGATTGTATATATACGATTTAGCATTACTTGTGCCTGTGAATAGACATCCATCCATGGATATGATCTGATGAAATGGGCGGGACTCTTTCTTAATCTTTTCTCCCCCGCCTTCCACCCTGGCTTTTCTTTTTAATTTTCTCTTCTCTTTTTGGGATTTGGGTGGAGGGAATCTTTTTCTATCTACCCATTTGCCACTTCAACTTCTTCATTTCCTTATTTTATGGGAGTTGCGTTTAAAGGGCGGTACTGTTTAGGCAACATTGGGTCTCCTTAAACCAGGTCTTTATATATAACTATATAGAATTTTTTTAAAAAAAAGCCGACCAAATATGGAAAAAAGTATGTTTTAATTAACTTGTTAAGCATCTTCTTCGTAATGAGGATAACAATCAATCTTATCAAGGTGTCACACCAGATACTTTTCATATAATTCAGTTATATCTTCTCCATACATATTCTCGTTCAACCCCTACTTTTGGTGCAGGACGATTTTGGCTTGGGAAGAGACGCATCAAACAAGTTTCAGCTACTGATTATGACAACGTGACTAAGCTAGGCCCTATCGGAAAGAAGCCTTGGCGTCGAGCATGGGAAGTTCTCCAACGTCAACACCTTAAACCAACTTGACAGAGTTACGACGCCTATCTACAATCACAAGGAACTGACTGCTTTGGTGGGGGGTCTGATGGTTATTTTTTTATTTTTTATTTATTTTTTTATTTATTTATTTATTTATTTTTTTGCAAATCAATTTCCATTCTTGTCCCTCGTTTCCTCAATTTGTGATTGTTTCAGTCCATGCTTCGCGGTGCGAAAAGTTAACTACCGTGGTTGTTCAACATCTTAATTCAGCGGTGTAAGGACGGTCTCGGTTTGATGGGAGTTCAATAGTTCAGGACGCATATTTGACAGGCAAAACTATTGCCAGTCTTCTGAAACATCCTCACTACAGAGAAACAAACCCATTGACGTGGAAACAATTGCTCATTTACTCCTTCAGCACCATCCATATATCAACATCTGTCCCTTGTCTCCCACCCGCTCATTT